TCATTCTTCATTAGACATACATTTCAGGTAAAAAATATCTTCCTTGAAACAAAAGTATATGTCTTTTTATAGCATCTGCAATTTTCGAAAATGACAGGTGACGAAGTTGCTGCCTCCGTGTTGGTGAAGTTTGATATTTTTTTTCTCGTAAGTTATGCGTTAATAATACAACGAAGTTGACTTTCGGGCTACCTGGTGAGAAGTGGACGAAATATAAAATACTCAATGAAATCTAAAATATCAACTTTTGGACCCGTGTCAATCTCTCGTGGAATCACCCAGCTTCCCTTTCTGCACCCTTTAATTGCGCACGCTTTTTTCTGATACACCAAAGCAGCGCTGAGCAGCCATATTCCCATTCGCTTCTGCGAACTCAACAACTTCTGGTTTAAACGCAGCTGAGTACTGCCTTCTTGTACCGCTACTCATATTCAGGGAACGAAAAAAAACCACTAAAAATGAAACACAATGTCAAGCGGAGCGAGATCTTAGAACAGATTGGAGGCAAATCACGAACACACACAAAAAAAAAACAGACAAAAGAGAGAAAAAACAACAACCTGCTATTGGATTTGAATGCGAATATGGCCGTGTCCAGCTTCTCATGCACATGTGTGACGTCCCCGCAAACACGGACGGAACCCCGCTCCTTTCAAGATGTGTACACTCGTTTCTCAAACCCACGCATAAAAAAAACGGAAAAGAAAACCTTCGGTGTAACGAATGGGCATTCCGGAGTGGAGTACCGGAAGGATTATTTCTACTATTCTCACGGGCTCCCCCTCGCAAACACGAGGACCGGGTGGCGCCTTGTCGTCTACAGACCGTGTGACAGTGTACGGTGGAGATGATCCGCGCGCACCCTTCAGATTTGTGGCATGGGGGAGCAGCAGAGCACCTTTTGTTGGTTCGGAGAATGCGACGCGGCCGCAGCGCCTGAGCCGGGTCCAGTATGACTTTCCGTCAGCCTCCGTGGCTCCAGGGCTCATTACTGCGTTCTGCGCGGATGGCCGCTCGCGGCGGTGAATGACGAAGAAGCGGCGGCTACGTAGAATTTCGCGGGAGACGCCGAGCTGCATGGAAACGTTGAGACTTGGTCTGGACATTGGCTCACCAAGTACCGGAAGCATCGGGACCATTGTTCACCCGTAATTAAAGTGTCTTGGGACAGCTCGCCTATCTCTCTCTCTGAGGCTTGAGTTTGTACATTGTTACTTGCTCGGCCTTGTTTGGGAGAGGGTTTTCTACTGGTGTAGGCCGCGGGGGTGGCTGCCGCAGATGATACACTCCGACTGAGAAGAAAATATGCCGCGTGGATAGCGGCGATTGGTTTGGTGCCCCGGTAGGGCAGAGTAGGAACCCGAGAAAACCGGCCACGTGTCAAGGAAGGGGAGAGGCGAGGAGAGTCTTTCCCAGGGGAGAAAAAGAAGTAGACGGCGACGGAAGGGGACAGATCAGGCCGCGACGCGAAGAACCAACCTTCGGCCCGACTCGAGCAGCCAACTCCGAGGCTCCGACTACATGGACATTCTGTGAGACGAACTTCACCTCTTTTACTTGAATGAGCTTTGCGGGAAGGAATGCGGCATATTGAGACATTGCGTGGTTTTATTAATTTATCACTTTGTCATTTGTGTCGTCGTATGTTTACTCTGTATTGAGGCACCGTTGTATTGTCACCGTTACTCGCTTATGTATCCTGTTTTGCGTGTCGCAAGTATTTGCTAATGTGTTACCCTTTTGTGTAACAGAGATGTCGTTCACGGGCAATATGTGCGTACGCCATTTGCACTTGTTATTCAATTAAATGCGCCCATAATTAAGAAAAGATCGCGACGTCTCTTACTTCCCGGCCCCGGCACGAATCCCTGTATGTGGAAAGTGATTGAGACACTTAGCCAAGAGGGAACCGGATAAAAAGGGGGTTGAGGGGCTTCCCTCTTTTTGGTGATCGGTGGCATAGTGGGGACGTCTCACATGCAGGCAACATGTTGCCAGACAGCGGTGCACTGTCGGCTAGACACCACTAAATAAGACGAGGGGCGACTTTAGCTCGTTGTTTTATTGACATTATCTCGACTTCTATTCTTGTTTATACGGTACTTATGCGGTACTAGCAGAGAATACAAATAATAATAATTTGTTATACACTGCGACTATCATCTTATATCTTTTAGAAACTGCATTTCAATTGTTCTGCCATTTTTACACTCTGTATTCTGCTTTTTGCACATGGATTAAACTGACTGACACTTGAATTAAGGTCGTTGGTAATTGGATTAAACATGTAGTACTTAGATTAAATTAACTGGCACGTGGCCTAATTGAGTTTGTGCTTAGATTAACTGTTTGGCACATGGGAATAAATAGCTTGGTACTCAGATTATTTCAATGTTGTGCGGATTATTTAAGCTGGCACTTGAATTAATGCCAGCGGGATAACTTGTTGTTTCATTGCAACAGGAACTAAAGAAAAAGTCTGAATTTATGAAACAGAAGCAAGTAACCGCATATACATGGCCAAAGTGCCTTATGCAAATGATATTGCAGACTATTGGCTATACTATTACATAATTTTCTGCACTTTGCAATCTTCTTGTCCTTCGTAATTGAGGACCATAAAACCCATGCCTGCATTATTGTCACTGGTAATGGCTACTTGCTGCAGTGGTTGATGGGAAATATAAAAGAATCGGACTACTGCCTTGGTTGCCCTTCGGCTAATGCTAAAGAACATGAAGTGCCACATGCACTTGCCAACAGCTTGCCTATGTCTACCACATTGCTCAGTGAGGTTTGTGGGAATCGCGCACACCCACTATCGAGAAATAGCCCCACGTGTTGTGCACCAGCGGTGCACGAGGCCCACCTGCACTCTTCAAAAGGGGCAACCTGCACACTGCCCAGGACACAGGTGCCTTGGTTGCCAGGAAAAACTGGTGCTGCTACTCGCGCTGGTCGATTGCTGCTGCCCAGAGATCATGGCCGCCGCGCTGCTGTCTTGTGTCACAGGGCCGACCGTGCCGTATGCCGCATTTAGTTCAATTGTTTGTTTTGATGTGGAGCCTCCGTCGTCCTTGCTTTAACTACGGTCGGAGCACAGCAAGCCCGATACCCACAGGTTTAATGGCCAACTTGAACGAAACTTTAGCTGAATTTATAATGAGGTAGTAATACATATATAATACATATTGACCAAGCTAACCCCTAGCCAGAGTGTTAAAAATAGGCTGACCCACTTTACATCCGCACAACTAAATTGATGTTGCTGACGACTGCACGAAGTATGTCACACTATTTTTTTGTGCTCTGCGTAATCGCTTATTTAAGGAAGATTCACTAACTTTTAAAAGGAACGAAGCTGTGCGGAAAATCCCCCTTGGAAAGCTGTAGATTGGTTTGCAAAACCCCTGATTAGACCGGTTCTAAATTTCTATATTAGTTGTTAGGGTTTTTCTGCTTAGTGCAGAGGCATGTGAAGTATAGAAAATACCAAGTGACATGCCCATTTTTGCACCGTAATTTCGGTGCTCTCTTTGTTTCGCCTGCATTACACAGTAGCAGTGGACCACATGTGCTGTGGGTTGAAAGGCGACAGGAGAGTGACGGTCGGAGCACAGCAAACCCGATACCCACAGGTTTAATGGCCAACTTGAACGAAACTTTAGCTGAATTTATAATGAGGTAGTAATACATATATAATACATATTGCCCAAGCTAACCCCTAGCCAGAGTGTTAAAAATAGGCTGACCCACTTTACATCCGCACAACTAAATTGATGTTGCTGACGACTGCACGAAGTATGTCACACTATTTTTTTGTGCTCTGCGTAATCGCTTATTTAAGGAAGATTCACTAACTTTTAAAAGGAACGAAGCTGTGCGGAAAATCTCCCTTAGAAAGCTGTAGATTGGTTTGCAAAACCCCTGATTAGAGCGGTTCTAAATTTCTATATTAGTTGTTAGGGTTTTTCTGCTTAGTGCAGAGGCATGTGAAGTATAGAAAATACCAAGTGACATGCCCATTTTTGCACCGTAATTTCGGTGCTCTCTTTGTTTCGCCTGCATTACACAGTAGCAGTGGGCCACATGTGCTGTGGGTTGAAAGGCGACAGGAGAGTGACGGTGCTGGTTGCTGTGCGAGGAGGAACCTTTCGCTTGCAGCAGCAGAAGCAGTAACAGCTGTGTCTGCTCATCCCTGCCGTGTACCAATGCACAGGAAGCATATCGTTTGTATGCTGAACGTTAGGCAGGACTGCAATGTGGTGGGCAAGTAGGCGTGTTGCATGGTATATTTTGTTTTGTGGGCACTTCTAGTAAGAAGCGGAAAGCACAAATTTAGGAACTCTAATAGGGAATTTCGCCTACTGATTTCCAACTTTTTATTGAATATTTTGTGTAGCTTTGTTTATTTTTAGGTTAATTAATTATCTTGGCTAATAAAGCAATTTAAGCAAAATCGCAACTTACACCATGCAGTAGTAAGCAACATGTATATGGTTGCATTTTCGCAAAGTGTGTTAGCATGTTCTCAAACTCTGGCTACAGTCAGCTTGGGCACCCTGTATACAACTGATGAAATGTTAGCAAGGTAGCATGGCTCTTAAATACTATTATAGTTTTCTTTTGAACAACCATTAGGCAGCACCGAATCACAAGGCGCATGCCACTCTTGTGGTTATCGGGGCATAGGTCCTGGTCTCAGAGATGCTCCAGTGCCTCCTTATTGGGAGGCCATGCAGAAAGTGCATTCTTGGTTGTGCCATTACTATGCATCACTATGGAAAGTATTAATGGTGACATTTCGTTAGATTTGGTGTGAAAAAGTGGCTTATGTTTTGTAGCTTTCGACGACTCATCTGCTTGTTCTGCAAACACAAAATATTTCACGCAAGCTCTCCTATATGTCTACCATCAAAAAATAGGCATTTTGTGGGATCTAAAATTTTGTCCTAGTTATGATTTGAGCTAGTTGTCTTTCACTTTTGTTTCTGATGCAGATCTCGTTGGTGGAAAATGAGATGAAAGTTGCAACGCATCCTGTGGACTATGAACCAAGCTGTGTCACTGTGCATCCCCAGGAGCCAGACTTTGCTGTTGGCGGGTCTAGGGTCAGTGCAATTCTTTTGCCGCTGCTTGTAGTTTTTTTTTTATTGGAAACACTTGGGTGTGAAATTTTGTTTTAGCAGAGAAGGTCCTGAAGTTCAAAAGTGCAGTGGGTAAGTACAGCCTGTTAAAAATATCGATGAAGGGGCGGAATCAGAATTAAGCAAAGGTTGCATTGTAATTTATACAAGAAAGACATAACAAGATATGTAATATGCATATGCAGTGTGCATTATGGTTGACCTTTGCAATATGCATTATGGTTGACCATCTATGAATCTGTGAAATTTGTACAATTTGACTCCAATGCTCTGGAGACTCAATTTAAAATGAGTGGAAGTGATTGGACAAGTTATAGTGTATTTATGGCAATTGATTGTAATTGTAATTGTTTACTGTACAGTTAGCTATGTCATATTTCTTAACAAAAGAAATTCAATTGCATACCTAAATTAGTACTAGTATATCTATTAGTTATCCCATGAAGACAAGCGTGCTCTAAAAAAATGATGAAATTTTGTAGAAACACCCCACATCAAGCATCTTGCTAAACGTGGTACTGTGTACTAAAATATGTCACCCAGAAGTAATATATATGAACTCTTAAGTAATAAGAATGACATTCAATTTAGCATTTGCACAAAATTTATACTCTTTATTTCGACTAGTGCACAGAAGTGGATATAGAAAGTAAACACTGACATTGGCAAGACTCTGATGAACATTGATTTACAAAAGGTAATAAAATAAGACCTGTCTATCAACTGAAAAATTTATTTAAAAATGTGCTACTGTACAACAGCCTTGATGCCAATTTTAAATGTTCGTAAGGTTTCTTCATTATTTATTCAGTGTTAAAGGAAATGAGCTGGCAATTTCAAATGATATATACCTATTTAGAATATATTGTGGTATTCAATGGATTGGTCATGGAAGCATTTCTTGTACAAAGAATCTTGATGCAAATATAAACTGTATCAAGCTCACTTCAAATTTTTATTGTGCACAAAGAACAGTCGTGCCTATTATTATGGTCATGGTTTACGTCTTGAAACTTGCATATAAACGAAAATTAAGGCATCTTTTCGTAAATGCCGAGAGAAAATTTTTAGTAACAAAGAAAAAGGTAAAAAAGACAGGCAATGACACCACTTGAAGATTTCCATGCTAGCTTTGTGCAGCGCCATAGGTTTTATTAGTGTTTCCAAAGGCTTGCATGCTTTTTGATAGGTAAAAATGAATTACGTTGGGTTCTAAGCAAGTTTCTGAAATACTAGTTGAGCCAAAGTGGTCAAAATTTCAAGTCAGTGAAATCGACACCACACTCACATTAACTAGGTGCTTATGTTTCATTATAAAATTCAAAATTAAAATTTTTCCCTTCTTTATATATGCAAATAATGAACCAATGACGGCAAAAGTAATTACTGTAGAGTCATCTAGGAATAATTTATCAGTGTAAACTTATGTAGGCTTCCAATTAAGTGGCCCATCAAATTCATGTCTGTCATCATTGTAAAGATCGATTTCATGTGTCAAAATGTTGTGTGTTATAATGTAAAGATATTGCCTGTGAAAGAAGACCACTGCAATATAGTACTATAGTGTCCATTAGTGCTCATATTCTCTATTATGGGCTTATTGTCTGCTTATACTTTCTGTTTTGCTTAATCTGTCTAGTTTTCTCGTCTATAATAATAGCGCGATATTGTTAAAGAGCTCATTATGCAGAAATTCCAGTGTCTGCATCGTTGGCTGTTAGCGAAAAATCAGTGTTGTCTATGATTGGAAATTTGAAATAGATGCAAATAAATAGAAATAAAAATCGACAATTCAAGAAGGCATCAGACACAGGACTTCTGCGTGGTAAGCAGGTGTTCTACCACAGAGCCACGCCAGTGCTTTAAACTGTCTCGGAAGGAAACCTTATAGGAATGTCATGTAGTGCAAGGGATCTTTTTAACGCATGTAATATTGTGTGGCAGACGCTTTTATGCGTAAAAGTGCGCCAGGCATGAAAATTTGTGAATTGCGCGACAAGTGTGTGGTTGAAAGGCCCACCTATAAAAAAGTGCTGTTTAATCAATAAACCTTAAATGCGTAGCTAGTACATTACAGGGTATACAGATGAAATTGTGAACATGTGTAAATTATTTTAGCTAGTGCTAGTTTTCTGCTTTTTAGGCGCTGTACTTATAGATAGTGGTGGGTTCTAAGTTTTGGTAGCACATGCCTTCCAATTTGCCTTCTTAGTGCTTTATCATTTCTGTCAAACTGCATCATGATGGAAACACCCAATATTCCTTTTGATTTTTTTCATTAATTAGAAATATGCAAGTTATAATAAAGGCAATTTCTTTTTATCTGGAAAAAACTTGAATGCAGAAAAAAGGGACTAGACTACAAATGATCGCCTACGTCATTGATCAACTTTAATTTTTACTTTTGAAATTTACGACTATAAAAACGTACCCTCTCCCCCCTCATTCATTAGACTATTCTATACTTGAAATATTCTGCTACAAAAATTGCTCTAAACACAGTTCCAGCTGTCCCACTCTTGTTCATATCATGCAGTGCAATCAATAAAGAGGTATAGTTTAGCGTGAGCGCAATAACCAGGGTTAAAGGAATAGCGTTACTGTGCCGCAAGGGTTCGTTGTGGACAGTGTCTTTTAATTTAGTGGGTTAGCGTTTACGTGGTTTACAGGCCCGAGGTGGGATGGTGGCACCACATAGGGTGGCTAAGTTAAAAAACAGTGGGGTGGGGGAGGAATGAGAATGTTCACCTGTATTACTGTGCAAAGCAATGTTACTACTTTTTTTAGTAATAATAAAAGTAAACAATTATGAACAATGCACCAAAGACCAAAGCATTCATGTTGCTGATTTGTTAACATGAGTCTTCTAGTCGGGCCTAGGTGCGTTCGAGATGGGAAGCGATCTCAAAATCTAGGCTAAGTTATCTGTAATACTCGGTCGGCGAAGCTACCTGAAGACAAGTGAAGTCATTTTACACATTTTTTGGCTATGAAATGATTGAATGCGTCCTCACCTACGCTAAATTAAGTCCAAAGCGGGTGGTAAAAACCGCCACCATGTTTTGCGTACGCTATGTAAACCATGCAGACATGTTAAAGCAAAATCTTAAAAATAGTGTGCGCACAGTACACGGTACAGGGCTTATAGCATGCTGCGCATGCGCATTTTGATCCTGCTAAGTCCGCCAAACTACAGCAGTCTAATTTTAGCCCTGGAGCTCAAGGCCATTATGAGGGGAGTGGAAAGTTCCAGTTATACATGATGTTTCTATATAAACTTTTTTACATACAAAAAGAACAAGGACTGAAAGGAACAGCACAGACAGCATGGTAACTTGAAAGGAACCCTGAAACGGTTTTGAAGTTTTGTTAGCATTTAGGCTAGAACGTCATCATTTCATTTGCGCCACAAATTTAGTGACATGCCGCGTATCAAGGCCACTGCATGTACCCTTCTCAGCTCATGACACGCTGGAATCGCTGGTGATCACAGCGCTGTCATGAGCGCACTCGACGGTTTTAGCTTTGCCCAGTCATAGCTTCGGAGATTGCTCGCCAACAGGTTGCGTGCAACCTCTGAGACCATAGCTCAGTGCGCCCGGAAGCACGCATGCTATCTGGTAGCAGAAACAAAGATCGCAGAGTAGTTGATATCTGCTTCGACAGATGCCGCCACACTACCAAATTCTCTTATTTTATTCTCCTGTACGGCAACAGCCGGCAAAGGCATGCGAAAAAAGTGAAAAAATTCGATAATGATCACCGATAAGCTTAAACTCGGGCAATGTGGTTGTGTCTTCAAGGATGAAGTTACAGCCGCAGATGCATGAATCGTAGCTTAAACGGGATGGCGAAAGCGTGACGCTCACTGCAGCGACGAGCTGAGGGCATTCTACCTGCCAGATGCCTCACAAATTTCACATTGTTGCAGCTTTACAAGTCACTGATTGGTAGATGTATGGTACACAACCTAGCTAGGGCTGTTCTTTGTGTCCAAGAAAAGAAATCTCAAGATGAACAATATTCATGTTAACACGGAGCACATTGTGACACAAGCAGACAACACTCACTGCTCATAGGAGATTCTGCTATGTATACATATATATCTGATGAGATACATCACTGGGCACTATGCGCGCTTAAGGGGAGACGCGGGTCGAAAAGTCGCGTTTTTTTTCCAAATTTCACCTTTTCTGTTTTTTGTTGCTTTATCATCTTTATACATTATATTTTGACATCTGAAAATATCACAGCGAAATAAGCATCAGAAGTCAGTGAAAAACGCGTCTGAGTGAGCGGCAGTGACGCGCGGCATCACGAAATTTACACAAAACGGGCTGCTGTTCGCGTGCTCGCGGGGCCGCGAAGAGAGCTGTCCGCCATATTGCGGCCGCTGGCTCGTGTAGAGTTGTCCTTACTCTCCACGATCCCGGTTCTTGAAGTCTCGTACGTTCACGAAAAATCTAAAAAAAAAGCAACAAAAACCATGACCTACTACACTCCTGACCTGTTCAGATAGCGGGGTTCCTATGGGAGCGCGTGTCCCCGCTCTCGTTCAATCGCTCGCCGTAGGTGGCGCTACCTATAACCTGTTCGTCTGCTACTTTACGGCTGTTTGGACGGCGCTAGAGTAAGAACGGCTGCATTCCGTGATGAACAGCCGGCATATATGTGACTATTTTTTCACTTAGATGACTGGTCAAGTAAGCTGTTCAGTGTGACGAAAAATTTATTGCACACTGGTGGACAAATGCGAGAATCCGTAGACTTACATAGTGTAGGACAGCATATGTGATGTTGCGTCCATTTAATTGCAAAGAATTTGTGAATGACTTTTGAAATATTTGTTTCAAAATTATTTTTCATTAGTGCATAATAATTACGCAATATGAGTGCTCTGTTGGCCGAAATATGACCACGAACACTCAAGCTGACGTCAGCGAACAGGTGCTGCCTAGCGCCAC